ATTGGATTTTAATACATACAGTGCTTCATGCTAGCCAAGCCTGCACACCTGAGCTACATTCCTAGGCCCTGATCCTCATCTAGTCACCTGGAGGTGCGCAGGAAATGGGTTGGTGTCAGAACAGATGAATTCAAAAAGTGCAGGTAACCTCATGGCTGCCTGCACTGTTTCTCCAATACCTCCTCTTCAACTCATCTGGATTTCATGCTATATTCTTTCCTATTCTATTCATGTGGGATGCACTTGCTTAATCCATGGGTGGTTTCCCTCTAGATTTGCAGCATGATATTCTTAACTCTTTCTTGAGGAACACTGTGTTCTCTCTCATGTATAGTCTCTTTTACAAGGTGTTTCTCTGGTATAATCTACAGTGTCCTGGATGTTTATGTCATCTCTAAAGTATCCCCTAACAGAAATTCTAGCTAGTCAACGTTTTGCACAAAATCCCTCTGCTACCACCTCTTTGGCTTTGTGTTTCACAGGGGCAATGATGTACAGAAAGCTCCAGTGAACTACTGTACAGGTGGAGATTTCTTCTCATTTCAGTTTATTTTTTTTTTAGTCACATGAATTTCTGTGTCCATATACTATCACACCCAGCTTACAAAACAGGCATTGTGATTCTTGAGTAAGTCTCCAGGGCCCTTGCTACAACATTACATTCATTTCAGTCTCCTTAGTATCTTATTCTAATCATCAGCATTGCAGGATTCTTAATCCATGTAAACTCAAGTTTAAAAAATGAATAGAAAGCCTCTTCACAGCAAAATATTTGACAGAAAAGACAGACAAATTACATAATAGGAGAAAGTGTTTAAAAACAGTTAAGAGGTCACTACAAGGAGATTACAAAAGTATTAATGCCATTAAAAATGGAGAGTTTGCCAGAAAACTTTAATGCATCCTCAAAATCACAGGCAAAAACAGCAAAACTAGACAGATAGGGTTTACCAACCTGCAAAGCATGGCATCAGTTAGAAAAGCAATTGGCAAGGGAGAGAGAGTTCATAGACAGAGAGGAAATTTACAAAACAGACACTTGATGAAGGGCTATAGCAAAAGCATTACCAATGAACACGATTCATTAGGGAGAAAATAAATAAGTCAACTTGGAAACATGCAATGGACAAGACATTTCTTAGATGAACGGATGACAAACACATTAAACTTCTGAGGTCACTAATCATCTGGGAAATGCAAGTCCAGTCCACCATGCAAGGTCTCCTCAGCCAATGAGTAGGTCTATTAGCCAATTTAAATTGAAAACTGTCAGGGTCAGAAGGGTGGAGAGAGTCCCTTGCACAGTGCTCCTGGGGTTGAAAATTGGAGCAGTTTCAACAGAAAGCAGCACGGAGCACTCTCACAGGTTAAGAAAAGATCACTGTATTTTTCCTACCTGCAGTTATTTGTCCAAAGAATTTAATCCAGCATCCCAAAGCAGTATCTGGACCCATATGTTGACTGAAGCAAATTTAGCAACATGAATTAAAGATAAATCTCTATCTATCCTCAATCTGTCATCCATTCATCCTATTTTTTCTGAAGAAAATTAAATCAACACCTTAGAAACATATCCACAGTCTCATGCTCCTTGTGGCCTTATTTGCAAGATAGGAAACTGCTCACCTGTTCCCAGTGGATGACTGGTTAAAGACTTCATAGTGTACATGGGTGAGGAAGTGTCACACCAATTCATAGAAACAGGAGATGCTGTCATTTGTAACAACATAGGGAACGTGGAAGATACTGTACAAATAAACAGCTGCACCAAGTGATCGCCATTGACTTACTTTCACATCTGTCAAGAGCTAATTGTCCATGTACATAGCAGTCTGTGGCGAGGTCCTGGACTCAGTTTCCCCTCGGGGCTGTGTGTTTATGGCAGTGTCAGACTGCCTTGCACCCTGTATATCAATGCTAAATCCTTTGAATAGGTGGCACCACCTCACAGTTTTGGGTGTCATCTTAGTCTCTACTGGCCCCTTGGAAAATGTTCAATGAGTGAAAAATTGAGACTACTTTCAGTGAAGCAATTCTGAACAATAAAAGATGATGAATATAAGAAAGTAAGACTAAATTTAATCATGCATTAGAAGCATTTCCGTAACCAAGAAGATGAAGATTTCGTAACCAAGAAGCATTTCATAACCAAGAAAGTATAAAGAACAAAGTCTGAAAATATGAGTATATAAAAATTTAAAAGAGTTATATAATGAAACCATTACAAACAAAAAGTAAACTAGGTTTAATATTTTACAAAACTTCACGGAGAAGCTAATACATCAGTTATTTGTATAGCATCTCAATAAATGATGGTCAAGTGAGATAAACTAATGAACAGTATGCATCTGGTAAAGCTCAAGTCGAAAGGCAAATGATGACAGTTTTTAGGGCATAATGTTCCTCCACCTCCTTCAGAGGGGCATTTACACAGCGGATCTTAATTCTTTTATCCTGCATCTGTTACTTCTTCCTCCATCTCTGGATCCCATTCACATTTGAGGTAATATTTATTTCTCTGTTTTCCATTGTCCAGTCTGTCTTTTAAATTACATATACTTTGGGTAAGATAAACTGTGCAGTATTTAAGCTTATGTGTCTGCTTTGTTTCACTTAACATTGTGATCTCAAGGTGCGTTCCATTTTCCCCCAAATGATTTGCATTTGTATATATATGGCAAGGCAATACTCCTTTGTGAATAAATGCCACATTTTCTCTATGAATTCATCTGCTGATGGATACAGTGAGCCTCTTGGGAGACACAGATCACTGATCTGTGATACACGTGAGTATGCATAGATCTCTGCAATATGAAATCTCTAACTCTTGAGATAATGCCTGCATCTCCAAGGGTTGGGATGTGAGAACAGACAATTTATAAATGTCATGGAAAATAGATTTCAACTGCATTTCTCACAACAGTTAGTTAAAACAACAGGGACAAACTCACGAATGGGTTAAGAGTGTATTGGCCCAATGGAGAATTGGGGTTCATGTTACATTTACTACCGTAAAACTGACAGAGTCACTGTCCCTGATCTTCATACTAAAATGTTACCACTTGAAGCAGAAGTGGAAATGGATGCTAATCCAAGCTCCTTTCCACCATTTTCGGGCAGAGTGGCTCCTCCATGGCTCCTCCATTCCTCCAATCGATTGTTAATTTACCTTTCTTTACTGCTACTATTACACTGTCAGTAAGGCAGAATATCTAACTGAAGAGTGACGTGGCCAGTAGTCAGTGACCTGAGGACAGAGGTCTGTCTGGACAGGAATGAGATGCACAGGATGCAGGGCTGCAGGATTCCCATGTGAGATCAGTATGTCCCAGTTCCATCTATGACAGACACATTTCAAAGTTCTCAAATGATTTCTTTAAAAGAATGACATAGTTAATCTCCCAACTGCTCAGACTAAAAATTAATAATAAGAAAATTCATGGAATTAACTCACAGAACACTGAACACCATGGCGTGGAGATTGTTTGAAAAGAAACTGAGAATTAAATTATCATACTGTATCTGTCCTACTGTGTCCTCTTCTGTCAAAGTGAGAGTGTGGTGACATCCATAGGTCTCTTCTATGGAGACTGGAGACCCTTCAAGAGTATACTCCTGCCTCGGTCAGTGCACCCTCTTCCACTTGATGTTTTCGCTTCATGTTCTGCTGTTTCATCTGATTTTAGGTTTGCACTCTCCTGGAAGGGTCTTCCTTTTATGAATTTCCTTATCAAACCTAAACCTATCCAACGCCACTCCAACAGGAGCTACTGCAATGACCCCAGAAATTCTTGCTTTCTTTTCAGAAATAAATAACAGTGAAGCTGCAAATGAAAAATTTATCAGGTTTGAGTACCAGTGATAGTTAATCATTTCTCTTAGCACCAAAACCAAAATCTCTACAGGGCCTTGAATAATCTGTGAAAGCTAAGTGACCAGTTCCTGCCTTGTTCTCTCAGAATCTGCACCTGAACACATCTCCCCACTTCCTCAGATTCCTTCTCCTGTCACTCATGTGATGCTCCCTACTTGGTCCAAACTTCACCCTGCTATGTGGTACAAGGTACAACAGGAACAAGGAGCTCTTCCCACCCCTGTTGCTGACTCAGACCTTGCTGATCCACATCCATGTATCCACTCACAGCTCACTCATTCCCAGAGACTGGGCTGTGCAGAAATGCACCAAGCCCTTGTCACTCATCATGTGTTTCCCTTCCATTCTAGACCTGGTGCTCCATTAAGGCAACCTCTTCCTAGCCCTTTCTGTGCCATCTCATCTGTGGACAGTTCAGATGCAGATGGAAACAGGGTCTGCAGTTCATGGCTGGGACTATGGACAGGAAACTCAGAGGTGTCCTGCACTGTGGCTGAGTTACAGAGAACAAGACCTGGGTGTGAATGCTGTGAGTTGCAGCCCTAGATTCCCAGGCTGACAGCAGCACAAGCTATTTCAGAGCTGCTTTTTCTTTTTTCACCCTTCCCAACCTCCTTTCCTTGCTCCCTCCCTAAGACCTTCTTTCTTTCCTTCACTTCTTCCTTTTCGTTATCTGTCACCATTTCTTAGAATTTCATTTCTAAAAGCATCAATAGTTGTCTAACTTAATATCAGAGATGTTTGGTCCTTTGACAACCCTACATTCCTAGATAATCCAGGGCTTCATTTCTTTTTTGGCATTCATTGTTTTATTTAATTCTATTCAGTAAGCAGCAATGTCATCCACCAGGTTTCAACCTCTTCACAGCACATAAAAATGCAGAACTTTGTACCTGAACAGGTAGAAGGGCTATAAAAATGAGAGAAGGAATTTCACTGTAGAAACTGAACATAATGTGTATCCAGACACCATATACTACAACTGTACAGTGATATTTCCATCAAAGAAAAATGAAAATGTCTAAGGACAAATTTAGACCCAGAAGAACAGTGTATTCTCTGAGCAGCTGTTGGCAGGGAACCCTCAGGAAACTGTTTCATGGACTCTTGCAGAATCCACAGTGCATTAGTGATACTTGAAGAAGATGCCCCGATCTCCAATGTGTGAACCTAGGACCCTGCCTGTCTGGTGAGGAAACCCCAGCCCTCTTCCACAGATGCAGCACTTACTTCGCATGACTTTCCTAATTGCCTGTTTAAAGTCTCTGTTCCTCAAGCTGTAGATAACAGGGTTCAGCAGAGGAGTGACCACAGTGTAAAAGACGGAGATGATCTTATTGACTTCTGGTGACAGGTGCACATTGGGACGCACATACATGGAGATCATGGTCCCATAGTAGATGGTAACAACTGCCAGGTGGGAGCCACAGGTAGAAAAGGTCTTCCTGCGGCCCGCCCTGGATGGGATTCTCAGAACAGAGGAAACGATGAAGAGGTAGGACACGACAGTCAGGAGGAAGCAAACACACAGCACCGCGATGGAGAGGACGAAGATGAGCAGCTCTGTGGTGTGCACGCTGGAGCAGGAGAGCTGCATTAGTGGGGGGAGGTCGCAGAAGAAGTGGTCGATGTGGTTGGGCCCACAGAAGTCCAGCCTGCAGATCATCAGGGAAGGCAGAAAGCCCGTGCCCAGCCCTGCGAGCCAGCAGAGAGCCAGCACCTTGGTGCAGATGTCCGGACGCATGAGGGAGGAGTAGTGCAACGGGCTGCAGATGGCCAGGTAGCGGTCACAGGCCATGGCGGCCAGCAAGAAGCACTCTGTGGCCCCGAAGCACACGAAGAAGTAGAGCTGCACCATGCAGGCAGAGAAGGAAATGGCGTGGCCCTGGGAGACCAGGTCGACCAGCAGGCGGGGCACGATGGTGGAGGTGTACAGGACCTCCAGCAGGGACAAGGACCCGAGGAAAGAATACATGGGCACGTGCAGGCGGGGATCCCTGCTCACCACTGTGATGATGACCAGGTTCCCAGCGATGGTGAGGAAGTAGATGCCCAGGAAGATTGCAAAGAGTAGGGCTCGCCACTCCAGGAGGCGCTGAAAGCCCAAGAGCTGGAACTCAGCTACAGAGGATGTGTTTCGGGGTCCCATTGCCTGTGTAGGGAAGAAAACACTTTTGTAAAGCACTTATGCAACGTATAACACATTTGTAATTATTGATATTTGGAGGTGAAGAATTTTTTTTAAAAAATAGTTTAGGCTTATTTGTACAGGTGATTAGAAGAATAAACACAAATTCCACCTTGCTTTAATGGGACCATATTCTGAAATGTCTTGCTCAGGGTGCACATTAGGACTTGGGAAGGGACATTTTGTTCCATTTCCTGAGGGTCTTTGAATACCTATATCTCCAGTCAAAAACCGGGGATAGGGGTGGGGGCGCGGCTCAGAGGTAGAGAGAGCCCTTGCCTACCACGTTCCACCTGCAGAACTGCAAGGGAAAAGATGCACAGCAGAAGGGGACTCTGATCAGATCACACACATGGAAGAAAAGCTTGAGAATAAGGATGCTCACAGTACACACACATCAAAATTAACTGCACCTTAAACACAGGCAAGGTTCATTTGTCACTGACAGTAACCGAGAAACAGAAATTAACAAGAACAGTGTGCTGTGAAGACCAGGTGCTGACAAAAGCAGTGGCCTCTGTCCCTGGACCTAGTTTGGCCCAGGCAGAGGAGGAGCAGCTTGTCCCAACTCAGTGGAAAGTGCATTCATGCTGCCCCAGCCCCTGCTGTGCACACTCCCATGTGTGAGGCCCTTGCAGGGTGCTGCCCCCCCACACCCTGGGAGGAGCCCTTGGGGGGCGCTGAGACCTCCACCCCTGAACACCAGGACCCCTGGGCCTCCTGGTCCTGCTGATCCATGGGAATGAAACTTCCAACCTAAGAGATGTCTCTAAAAGTCCCTGTTCTCTAAAATCAAAGAATGAATTATAGAAACAAGGGAGGTTAGGAGCAGGATATATTTATTGAGAGAAAGAAAGCTACTGTCTGACAAAGAGACAAAAGGGGTCCACAGTGGGATGCCAAATACTCCGCCTTTTCTAGGGATTTTATAGGGCAAAATCAGGAGGTGAGGCTTGTCCAAGGTAGGAAAAACACTGAAACTATAAGGCAGGGGGGCAGGAGGTGAGACAGAACTAGACCAACCAATCAGATTAAATGTTGAGGTAAAATTGACCAAATCAGGGACAAATGGGGAAGCCAGTCATGTAGTGAGAGGGCATGCTTAACCACAGTGACTTTTCTGTAGGGCTGTGATGGTGACTCCTGGCTTCCTAGGAGTGGTCCATACCTATTTAGAACATCAGTCCTTGATTTTTATACTTAGTGTGTGATTGCCTTTGTTTGTTTTGTCTTTGTCTTGAGACCTGGCCCACAGTAGAAGTGCCTGTCTCCTCCTAGGTCACAAGGTAGCTGGTCTTCTGCTCTGCCTCCTTTGAGGGCCCAGCCTGTCTGACTGCCTGTAAAATTTTTAAAGAACTCAGTGGTCTGTAACATCGCTTCCTCCGAGCCCAGGTCCTTGGGGGACAGGGCATGAGAATCTCTGGAGACAGAGGAGCCAAGTGCACATGGAGTCATAGGGAGAGCTCCTCGGAGCTCTGAACAGGGCCTGCACTGTGCTGGGCAGAGTCCCTGGCTCTGTGCCTGGGGGAGGCTGGGCGGTCACAGAGACCCCGCCTGGGCCTCAGCACTGCGCACATGCACGTGGACACATGTTCCTGCACACACTTGTGCACAGCAGCACACAAAGGTGTACACACACAGGCACAGAGGAAGCATCCACCCTGTGCCCTCCTCTACCCCAGGATTCTCTACCTTCCAGTTAGCAAGGCTGAGTCCAGAGCTGCTCCTCCTCCTGCTGAGATTTCACAGTTTCCACCCTGGGTCCCTGTTGATCCCTCTTGTGCTCCTAACCCAGTTCTGCCCCTTTCCCACCAGTGACCTCCAGGACCAGGGCCAGGCTCCTCCAGGCTTTCGGCCCCACTGCTCTCCTCCTGCCTCTGCTCATTCGCCATTCTCTCCTTGCTCCAGACCCCAAAGCCAGCTCTGAACAGCTAAGTCCCCAACCTGAAATGCGCACTGCAGGTCCCCATCCTGGCTCCCCAGTCTCAGGCCTCTCTCTGGGCCTAGCCTCCTCCTCCTACCCAGGCCAGAGACCTCAAAATCAGTGCTGGCATCTCTCAGAACTGTCAGGATATTTACCTGCAAAATCAGCTGGCTTCCTCAGGCTGCACCCTCAGTTCTGATCTGAGCACCATGCACCCCAGCGAGGCCTGTTCTCTGGAAATCGCCTGGTGTCTCACCTGCTTCACCACAGCTATACTGAGAAGTGGCTCCTTGAGATTTGGAAAACACGGGGGCTCCCTGAGACTCATTCTTGGTAATGCAGCCTGGTGACCCTCAGCTTGCCCACCTGCCAGTGACCTACTGTCCTGCTACTCTGCCTTCTTTTTAGTCATAGTTGCACTTTGTGCTGTGCTTGGTTTGTCTCCCTCTCCACATGACCCTGTGAGATGTGGTCAGGGAGGTCTCCTAGCACTTGCGTCTTCGCTGGCAGAGGCTCAGTGGTGGGTGCATCACACAGACTGAGCCAGACGGAGCTTCATGTCTCAGAGAGAGCTTAGGAGAGGGCACAAGCAAGGCTGGGGCCTCGTCGGTCTCAGGGGCTCTGCTCCTGTCTCCTCCCTGTCTCTCAGCCTCTTCCTCTGCTTTCTCCCTCCTCCTCTGCAGGAAGGTTCTTCCAGCTGCTCAGGACTCACCTTCCTGCCACTCAAGGGCTCCTTTCCTTGGGATGCAGTCCCTGCAGCCCAGGGCTGGTTTGTCCTGAGTATCAGGTCCTTCCACACAGTGCTTCCTCCAGGACATCTGGATGAGCTGCTTGACTGCAGTCCCTGCAGCAGGGGCCCAGGCGAGGGCAAAGGATGCTGTGTGCTGTGGCTCCCAGGCTGTAGGCTCCAACAAGGCTGAAGATTTTTCGAGTCCTAGCTGGGCTCATGCTTTCTCTTGGTAAACTGATGCCATCCTGGACAACGGCCTGTTCAAATTTGGCTTCACTTTTTCTCATTTTTCTAATTACATGGCCTGGGACTCAAATCAGGGTGACAGTGAATGTGCTTCAATTATCCTCTGATGCCTCAAGAACTCTGGATTACTTACTTTTCTGCTGTTACAGTTTTCTGTCCTGGAAAATTTAGGCAAAGCCATCAGCTGTTCGAGGATAGTGACCCCAAAGGCTAAGGTTCCTTGATAATGAGGACTAATTTAGGGGTCAGTGTAATAACTTTACAGTCTGCCAGCCACAACTGGAACAAGTAAACAGAAGTCCTTGTGCCCTCTGACACCTGAGCACACAGCACTCCAGCTCCCCCTGAAAGGTGCCACACATTTGCACAAACCGCAGTTCTGTCTTTGCTGCTGGTGCCCAGAGAGCCACAGAGCAGTGGTGCCATCTGGGCTGAGCCATCACTGGCTGCTGTCCAACCCCTTGAAGCAGATTCTCCACTTAGTAACCCTGGTTTCCTGGGCCCTGGGCCCTGGGGAGTGCTGTTCCCAGATCCTCTGTGATGTCACCCTAGAAACAGGAAGCAATGAAATCAGCTTTCTGATATGGGATTCTGCCCACTGAGACAACTGGGGTGAAACCCTTGGATGCAGTTCTTGTATTCCTTTGGAACAGCCATCCCATGACCTTAATTAAGCCTCTAGCCACAATTCCCGCCTTTTCAGTTCAGGGAAATTTTGCTGTATCACACAATGAGATTTCCATCCTTCATAAAACACAGTCACCTTTTAAGCTAGTTGTTTAAACACTGGCTTTTGAATGTATGTAAACAAATGTTGTAGAGATGCTTCAGAAGCTTACAAGAGTTGGCTGTGCTGTCTGAGCTGATTCAGACATTGTGCAGACATTGTACCGACATTGGCCCCTCATGTGCACAGAGGCTGCCTGGGCAGTAGCGGTAACTCAGGTTAATCATCCACAGCCCAGAAAGGAGAAAAAGCAGGGTTATCAGTTTCAGCTGTGAGAAGGGCATTTTTGCCAAAAACTGCTCTGTGAACCTGTAGGGCGTCAGAGCTGCTCTCTGTCCCTTCAACAAAAGCTTCTAGTATTTGTCCAAAGTGTAGACAGGGTAACCTGGGGCCACTCTGTGTAGATTCAAAGCTGATGTGTAGGCTGGCCTACCCCAGCAAACTGCCAAGGGGCCTGCCCTAGCCCTGCAAAACCTAGGGGAGCCATCACTCAGAGAGCTCCCCAGAGACACTTGGCCCCACTCTGCACAGCAGGGTCCTGGTGGTTGGGGTAATGTTTTCCTGATTTTTGGTTTGCTTATTTTTGTGTAAGAAAAACTCTCATAATAGACAATTTTAAATAACAAATACAACAACCATTCTTTAAAACTTCTAGAAATTTAACATTTGGCTTTCACAAACTGGTAACAGACTCGTTCTAACATATCACTGTCTCACTATGGCTTCATAGTAAGTTGTGATATCTGGTAGTGCAAATTCTCAAACTCTGTTAGTTTTCAAAATTGTTGTTTACTTCAGGGGAACTTGCTTCAAGTTCACAATAAATATAGCTCTGCATTTATTTAGATTTTTTGCTTTCTTATATCAATTTTTAGTTTTCAATAGAGTGGCAACACACAGCTTGCTAAATTTCTTGAGTTTGTTCATTTCCAGAAGACACTGCAGTTACATACTTGGGACGAAGTGGAAAAACAGGTTACAGCACAGCCAGGGAAAAATGAAACCAGCACAAATCTATCAAGACCTCTATAGACTATTAAAGGGCTGTTTAACAGGGAGAAACTGCTGCCTTCTGCTGCTGTTATCATTTCTCACAGGCTGCCCAGGGCATGAGAGGAATCAAAGAGCTCCAGGGACCCTGGAGCTTGGCCTGCACAAGGGAGGTGGGAGGAATGATGGTTGTTTCAGCTGATGGGGGAAATGTCATAGTTCCAATGTAATATAAAGTTGATGGACTTCATACTGGTTTTGAAGGATTGTTCTACCTGTGTTATGACGGTAAAGCTGTGAAATGGTAAAATAAGCAGTTCTTTGTATCCGGAAACTCGTTTAAA